AGATTGCTATATGAAATGACGAAGAAAGTTGAAAATATGGCTCAAAAATGGGAAATCAACATGCCAGTAATCACCATATGAAAAAAACTAACATGTGGCCAGCTCAAACTCTTGCAAATCTCAGGTAAACAAGACACACTACTGTATTTGGATTGCACCAAGAGAAATCACTGGAAAAACACCAAGATTAGAACATCCATTAACACACAGAATAAACCCACAGGTACACAGCTGCTAAGTAGTAAACAAAAGACCACATGTTGGTCTCACCTCTGACCCAGGTGATTACGCCCTCAAACAGGGAGCACCTGAGAAAAATAATATTTAAAAAATTTCATTGGTTCTTGCTAGGCATTTAAATTGGCTACGAACAGCCATTGGTTAATTAGTGGCATGAGACCTACAATGTGTCAAGTGATTTGAAGGCGTCTTTGTTCCAAAACAGAGAAGCAATAGGCGTTGTGTTTTGAATCGTCATTAAAACCTAAATTTATTACGAATAAAAACTTAAGTTTATACATACAATGTACGATCATTGTTACTCCAGCGGTCGGTTGGCAAGCGGACGATGTTTCTGAAGCCAGCCATAGCAGGAGCGAGCGAGCGAACAAAAGCGAACGCGAGCGAGTGGAAAAAAAGCGGTCGGTTTCCGGTTGGAAAGCAGCGAGCGGTCGGAAAAAAAGCGATAAAAGCGGGAGGTTGGGCGGAATGAGTACTGTATGAAGAGAAATCTGACAGTACAATTAAATCTGATATTATGAAGAGAACTCTGACAGTACAATTAAATCTGATAGTATGAAGAGAAATCTGACAGTACAATTAAATCTGACATTATGAAAGCCTGTGGTGGTTTTTATACGAAAACTAAAAGAATCTACCACCAACAATCACCTTCAGGTCCAGAATGCAATATTCTTTTTTACCAACATTATTATTAGCTTAAGAATATTGTGTAAGTTTTGTAAATACTCTCACCTTCTGTAATTGCTGTTCTACTCGAGTCAGTTCAGTTTGTTTATCTTCAACAGCATTCTGTGCAGTTTTTATCTGGTTTTCTAAATCAGATTTTTGGCTAACTTTCTCTGCCTCTGTTGCCATCAAGCATTCAGTCTGAAAGGACAAGTATGTTAATTTAAAAATGAGAAAATACCTTTAAGTGGTGAATTTTTTTTTTTTTATGATGCAAGCCTTACCTTCTCCTTAAGTTCTGTTTCAAGGCTTGCAACTTTTTCTTGAGAGGATGAGAGCTTATTCATCTGATCTTTCAGACTGCTGTCTATTTTATTCATCTTGTCTGTTGTTTCAGCAAGTTTAGATTTGGTCTGTAAAAAAAAAAGTGATGTTAAGAATGTGAATTAAAGGCTGCAAGCAGACAGTGACATATGACCTTAAGTCACATGACATTTCCAGCGAATCAAATCAAATACCAGTATCAAATGTTATTGTCTTCATGTAATAGTACTTAAAAAATATTTGTGACTTTTTTTTAACATTATCTGAATATTATTAATTCAATTTACCTCATTTAACTGTTTGTGTACAGCTTCTATCTTTTCGCTGTGGTCATATGACAGCTGCTCCAGACTTTGTTCACTGCTGTTCAGTTTCTCTTGAAGTTCAGTCTGAGAAATCATCAAATTACTTCATTAATTAATGAGTACTGATTCTTCTTTTAAAATGCTCTTAATGGAATCCATAATAGAGTATAGTTATGATACCTTACAATCACAGCTACCATAATGTAGAAGCATGAATTAGCAGGCATTTCAATCACCATGCCATAAAACATTCAATTATAATTATATCTCTTATAGTAAAGTGGAACTCAGGGCTGAAAAGATATTACCTTTTCTTGTTTTAGTTGGTTGATAGCTGTTTCTACTCCATCACCAGCTTCAATCTATAATATAAAGAAATTATTAAGTAACATAAAAGAAGAGAATGAAAGCACAGCTTTACTAAACCCTGG